CAGGCTGTTGGGGGAGCTCCGTCCCGAGGGTGCGACCCCCGCTGCCCTCGGGGCTGCCGGGGCTGGGCCCCCCGCCCCGCCCGGGCGGCACCTGCCGGGCGGGAGGGGCGGGAAGCGGGAGCCGGGCGGGGCGCAGTGACAGCCCGCCCTGCCCGCGGGGGTCGGGGCAGTGCGGGGGAAGGAGCGTCCTGTCCCGGGGAAGGGGCGAGCTGCCCGGCGCTCCGGACCCGGCTGTCGTCCGTGGGGGCAAGAAGGGCTTGTGTGTTCGTAGCCCGTGCCGTGCACGGTGCGAGCAGCTCCGCAGGGCTGGGGGTCAGGGCGAGCACACGCTGTGTGTAGGGGGCACTGATGAATGCGCAGGGAAGAGCTCAGAGCCCTCGTGTTGTGTGTCAGCAGCAGAAACCTGGCTGTACAGGAAAATAGAATGTAAACATGTGTTTTCATGCATACAGGTCTGTATATCTGCACCTCGAGTGCTGTGTCCAGTTCTGTGCCCCTCACTGCTAGAAAGATATTGAGGTGCTGGAGAGAGTCCAGAGAAGGGGAGTGGAGCTGGGGAAGGGGCTGGAGCATGAGTCTGATGAGGAGCAGTGAGGGGGCTGCGGGTGTTTAGCCTAGAGGAGACTCGGGAGTGGCCTTATCACCCTCTCCAACTCCTGGAAGGAGAGAGTAGCCGGGTGGGGATTGGCCTCTTCTCCCAGGCAGCAAACGAGAGGGCATAATCTCAAGCTTCAGTTTAGATTGAATGTCAGGAGGAATTTCTTCACTGAAAGGGTGAGTGGACATTGGAGTGGACTGCCCAGGGAGGTGGTGGAGTCACTGTCCCTGGAGGTGTTTAAGGAAAGACTGGATGTGCCAGTTAGTGCCGTGGTCTAGTTGACATGGCTGGACTCCAAGGTCTCAGAGGTCTTTTTTAACCTCCTTGATTCTGTGATCTCCATAGGGTTTGTGTGGATGTTGTTTTCAAAGAGCACAAGGATTTGATAAAAACTTAGTGTAGCTAAAAAACAGACCTGTGTTGCTGTATATGTAGATTTATGCACAAAGTACTTGAGCGCTGCAGAAGAGGAAATTATTCCATGTAAAATGTGTCCAGATGCCATCTTGCTATGTCCTCTTACAAACTGTGAACTCCTGCCAAGCTAAAACTAGGGCATTTACTAGTTTCAATAGATGTGCACAGAGCAGGGCAGACATCTTTTGGTGACACTGTTTTGTTCAGCACCACACAAGTTCATCAAGACACCAACTCTTTCCATATCCAAAGACTCTCAGAGAGAGGTGACTCAGAGTGGAAATCTTGCTTCTGTGGGTCTTTGTTACAGCTCCAACAACTGTCAGGAGAAAAATTGGTTAATGTGCCCACGTGGCCGGTGTCATTGTGTTAACTGAACAGATTTATGGAGGATCATTATAAATTATGGATGGAGCTGACATTCTCAACTTGGTGCAGCTCAGTCATGGATGCTGTGCTGCATTTAGAGACTGATTAATACAAGTCATGGACCAACTGATACGACTGTAATTAATAATTAGCTGTGGTTTATTGCTTATTAAATTAACTTTCCCTGCTCACTGGAATGGGCAACGTTTAAGTTACTGTTCTTCCATTTGCCTTGCCCATTTTCCAGGGAAAGCACTGTGTGTTTCAAGAAGTTGATGTGAAGTATGAGAAACAACTTTTTCTTCTCTGTCACTCTTATATTGCCTGCAGTGACATCGGGAAGGTTTGACAGGTCTGTCACTTCACCTGTAGCAGGTACAGTAGCAGAGTGTGTGACTCAGTTTCCCTTAGGATGGGGCTCTGCTGGCCACCCTTGCCAGCAGTGTCAGTGTTACAGTCTCTGCTTGGCAGGTGAAGCAGACACCGTGTGGTTTTTTTTTTAAAGGCAGTAAACTTCTGCTCTGCTGACCTTGACCTTATGGTTTGTGTTTACCTAAGTTTGGTGCAAGTCAGGGGTGTTTTCCATCAGACAGCAAGCTTCATGTTTTCTGTAGCATTGCTGAACTGCTGGAACTGTGAAAGTTTCAAGGAGTGGCTGCCTTGTGCTTCCATTCCTATTCTATCTAGTTTTGGTGATCTGGATGTTTTCAAATTGCACTAGTTACTGCCACACATAGTTCTTTCATTTCCAGTCCTGTACTTAAAACGAAGATGTAAACTTAGTCCTGGCTAATTTAGCACTGACTTCATGCAGCTCTCAGTCTGCAGCTTAATATATAAAGGACAATAGCAGTAAGCATTGCAAAATTGGGTTTGGAATATTCTTATGGTATAAAAAGAAGTTCCAAAAAAAGTCAGAATAGTTCATTACTAAGAGACTTGGAGATTTGTCCATCACCCCTGTGAGTTTTCTCCAACATAGTTTATAGTAAAGTAGTAGACCACAACTGAGCTTTCACGTAAAAATAATTACAGGTAAACACAGCATACTTGACAAGAAAACTGACTTTTTGCTGGTGTATGGTAAGAACCACACAGTTTTACTTTCAGATTGGATGTCTGATGAAGAGGAATTTGTCCCAGAGTATTCTGATAGCACCTACTTGCCCTCCGGCAGGTTCTGTAATGCAGCTGGGCCATGACTGTTCTTAACCCAGGAGTGAGATGAATGTAATGCACACAGTTGTCTCTCATGATGTGTACTTGTTTTATCTGCTAAAGTTACTGTTCTGTCCATATAAAACAGTGAGGCTTCATGCTGACAGCCTGAAATGGTGTGTAAGTTTACATGCATTTCTTGTAGTTTGAGGCCTTTCCTGTGCTGCCAGGGGAGGGCCATGCAGTAATTTGGGATGCAGGTGAAGAAAGAACAAATCTGTGGCAAATCCTCTAGCTGAAAAAGTCCAGAATATTAAAGGTGCCAATTGCAGAAATACTTCAAATACTAATAATTTGATTTATATTTTGAAGACAAAAAAATTGTTTCTGCAGGCTGTTGGGCCGGTGCCCAATGAGTGACTAATTTTAGTCAATGCCTTTTTTTCCTTCTTCTTATCTCCTGGTAACTTTGCAGTGGAGGTAAATGGTGGGCAGCCTTGGTGCTGCAGACCAGATGGCTTTTTCTCTGTGTCTCAAAAGAGGGAATCAGTGGATTGTATTGGAGCATACATAATGCTGCCCTGTCTCCTGCTACTGGTAATAGCAATCTGATCTGTGGGCTGTGCGGTTCTAAAGCTTGTGCAGCGAAGCTGAGGGGAGGCTCTGATGTGAAATGAACTTTCTGCTGAGGCGAGGCTCAGCTAAAACAGGCAGCACGTGCAGATGTGGCTGAAGATTGTCCTGGTCCCGCTGGAGGCAGAGCTCTGCCACCTCTTGGTGCATCCCTTGGCACAAGCTGGCGTGAGGGAGGAGGGTGCTGGGACCTGCTCTGGGAGAGGGAGGTGCCATTTCTGACAGGAGGGTGCTGATCAGGGATCAGGGGCACGGGGCTGCTGCCTGTGCTGCACACTCCAACCAGCAGCAGGAGGATCAGAGAAAGGCAGGCTCCAGGGGTGATGAGTGTCAGGGTTCAGCTTTTACAGTACAAATGAAGTCGGTGTTTTGCCGAGCATCGTGTATTGGTAGGCATGGTTGGTACTGTTCATAAAGGCTTGTGTTTTAGGACAGGAAGAAGGGAAGCAGGATAAGGATCTTACTGGATGGGTTTTTATCACGTGGTGGGAGGCTGCAGCATAAGGGCAGCACTTCAAGCAGAAATTGTTGTCTTTACCCCCAGCACGACCTTTTGCTGTGGTTCACGGGTCCTCTGCTCTGCTGCTTTCCTAGACAGCTGCAGGAGGTTGTAGCACACCGCTGGCACTTCCATTTTTCAGCCCCAAGAGCCCAGCACTGCTGTGGCCTGGATGTTTGAGACCAAAAAAATCAGCAGAACTCTGCGAGACTGCAGTATTTGGGAGAAGGCTCAAGGTTAGCTTTGTGGCTGCTATGCAGTACTCACAACTAATAGTTTTTGGGATTATTTGTGCTGCCTACCTTTAAAATTGTATGTTACCATGGTATCAGTGTATTGTCCATTATGAGAACACAATTTCAAGAAGAGGGCTTTATTATTGTGGTTATTGTCTACAGAAGTCCTATATAGAAGGGTTCACATGGCTGGAAAACCTACTTCCATCCAGTAGTTAAAGTAGAATTTGGAAATATACATGTGTCAATTTATTAGTGGGCTCTTAACATGAGGGAAATACTGACTCATCTTGAAGTGAAAAGTTAGTGTTTATTTATTTATTTATTTACCTCTTCAGTGAGCCCAAAGTTTGGAGGAAGCTTTAAAAAGTCCCCAAAGCCACTTTTCTCTCTTCTGTGTGTTTTTTACTTTCAGTTTTCCTGAATAAGCTTTCCTTGCAGTGGCCAGTTGTTTGAGGTGCTTCCTCTGCTAAAACAACTTGTGTCGTGCTTGTGTAGATGAATGATCTCTTGGAGGATTAATGACTCAGTCTATAATAAAGGCTCATGTTTTTCCCTTCTTCTCCAGGACTTTCTTCTGTCACACCATTTTTAGTGCTGGCAATGCAGATTAATTACATAGGTTTTTGAGGTAGTCATGCAACCAGTGTTAAAATAACTGCTCACCTGTGCAAATTTAGACAAAATAGTCTAACAATCTGGAGAGGAAAGCCTTTACAAAATGTAATTGCTGATCTGGATCCTAGAATTTTCCATATTGATTTAGATATGC